TATTTTAAATTAATAAAGAAAGAAATAAAATTTCATATTATCTTAATTTGTAAACGCAAATTATAATTGATTTCTCAAATCTACTATTATGATTTTTGATGACAATATGTGTATAAAATAAAGAATGCACGACGAAATTTATTACGAAAGACATCTGATGTTAGACAATTACAAATTTCTCAATTTGCCATTAATATTGTTCCGACGATTTAGTTGAAACTTGGACGAGACATTTATCTTTTTAATAGATGCCGATAATCATCAAACTTTCACTATTCGGTGCAAAATGGCTCGATATTATGGCTTGATTTTTACATCGTTCTAGCCATAATATTGAACTTATCTTTAGTGAAATTGTACGCAATTCGTATGTGTGCATGTGCGTGTTATAGGTGGAATAAAGCGTCCATTAATGTCTTGGAAAAAAAATAAAAAATAAAAGTGAAAACTGTGGGAAAGAAAATTTGCATACATCGATATGTTCAAACTCTGCGTGCAATAAGATTATCCAAAATGCGTATACAGACTCATTTTCGACCTTCGAAGTGCGAAAGCTTAAAATCCATTCAGCCAGCATTGAAACTGAGCATTCGGATGTAAGGGTACTACCCCGTACTCTCCTTTCCTTCAACACACGATCCTGCGGTGTTGGTGGCCGATCTCCACCGGTCAGGGTCGTCATCACGACGAGTTCTCCAAGTCTCAACGGCTTACTCGCAGCACAGTTAAGAGCATGAGCATCTAGCGAACGCGAAAACATTTCTCGTCCTTTCACTTCCACAAACGAGACAGACACATCGACCTAATCGCGCTTCAATAGCCTCAGTGGCGTAAATTAAGCAAGTCCTCTATCCCCCACTCTAAACCTATGTAAACTATTATTATATCGCAATTATCGAGATCTGTGTTATTCAAACCGGATATTGAAAATTTTATAGTATGTCCGAATCTAGCGGCAATCGATATCTCAATACCAAAGAAATCATATCAAGAATTCCTAATCAATCTTTAAAAGACTAATTCTTAAGTCTTAAATATATGTATGCTGCGTAGAATATATTTAATTACAACTATAATTGTATACATACATTTCCGATTTTTTACATATAAAATTATATATCAACCAGAAATAAGTTAATAACATAATCTTTATTGTTACGAGATATTGTTTGCTTACTTTAAACTTTAAAAGATCTCGATATCATGAAAGAAATAACGAAGGAAGCTCGCGCGTTTAACGAGTACAGATTCAGTTGTCATGTTTTTCAGATGTCAGACAGTTGTCATGTCCCTAAGATAACTGCGATAAAAGGCGACGATTCCCTTTCTACAGCGTAGTACTCTACGCCATTGACACAAGCACAAGCACAAATACACGGGAGAAGCGAGCAACAGTGCGAGAGGATTTCTGGTGCAATGCACCTGTGAACTCGCAGGAGGGAATTGTGCAACAATTAGAGGCGGCTGTGCCGACCACAGGCCACTGCGGTTCGTGCCTTTAGGAAGGAACGATGCGGCATCCGTCACGCGCCAGGACACTACGGAAATAGATAGATCGCAGGCACACTTTAAAAATGTCCTGCACAAAAATATCTTCCCTCTCGAGAACACGCGAGAATGTTACTACCGTTGAAAATCGCCCACAAATTTGCCACTCGCCTACTCCATTTCCCCGTGAATTCACAAGTAAGTATACTGTACTGGAAATCTTTTCTCTTTTTCGCTTTCCGTTTTTTGTTTTTTTTTTTTTCGTTTGAATATTTTATACATTTTTCGCAATTAACTGCAACATATTTGTGAAATTTCAAGCATTAAAGCTAACAAGCGTAAGCTAATTATAATTCCAGAAATCATGTGACATTCAAGACGAAACTGACAGATCCGGAGAAACCACGATAGTCTCTAAAGCCCGTATCAGACCACGTATTGAAGATTGAAATTTGACCAATCAGGATAAAAGGAACTAAAATTTCCTTGTCCCGATTGGTCAAATTTCAATCTCAATGCATAGTTTGATACGGGCTTAAGGGAGGTCCGACAGAGATTTGTCACGAACACGCAGTCTCTTAATTTAGGAATGCGTAATTAAGCCGTATAAGCAATTTAAATGCTTAAGAGAGAATAAATATGTCGCTTTGAATATATTACACTAAATTAATAACGAGAGAATGTGTAATAAAATCTAGGATTCGAACGAAACAATTGACTTTTAAATAAAGTTTAAATAAAAAATTGCAATTCACGATATTAATAAAAGAAGAGGGAGTTAGAAATATAATTTCTGTAATTTTTTTTGATAAAAAGTATTTTTTTCTGAAGAACTTGTCCGTGAAAAACACATATTTTATTCTAAAAAATATTAAATTTAATGTCATGTTTAGTACAATTTTAGTTAAATAAATTATATAAATTGACTTGATTAAAATGTTTGCTTCGACGCTGTATGTATAGAACATTATATCAATGTTTTACATTATGTAATTTTTTTATGTGACATCTTAACATTGATTTTAAATGAAATCGAATAATTTTGAAAACTTAATATATCGTAAATCGTAAATTATAGTGTTAAAGTTTATTATTGATGTAGCACAACAATTTAATCTCTATGTATGCAACTTTAATTAATCCTTTAGCTAATTACGCTCGAGATACCTTACTTCAAACCAGCGTATCTTGCGCAACACCATATAACGAATGCGCAACTTTTTAAAAAAAATCTATCGAATAAATATTACGCGTAAATATTTTGCGTATATATATATATATATATATATATATATCTAAAAAAATATCATTAAATATATATTAAAAAATCGCTATAATAGCGCTCAGTATTGAATATAAATAACTAATTTTCTAATTTAATCTCATTCTTTATAAAAAATCAAATCACGCATTATAATTAACGTAGTACCCGCTAAATTCTCGCGCGAATTGAAAATCAGCAATTTCTTTTATGTGTAGCGCAGCAATGTTTCAAGGTAACGCGTTATTCTATATCGTCAGTGTATCTGTATACATATAACTTTTACATCAAACGTGTATGTATATGTACGTGTTGCTTCGTAATCGCTTACAATGAAAAGACGCGATAAAAAACTGACACGCAACGAAAACCACCATATACATCATGTAATATAATATATATATATAGAGAGAATAGTCTATCATTATAATAACTGAAAAGCAAATAATATTCTACGTTAATAAATAAATCAAACAAACTTTTGTTATATGAAGCTTCGCTTTCAAGAGAATCGAATAATACACTTTTCGTTTTCTTTCACTTAATATAATTTTCAAAATTTCATTATACCATAGATCGATAAAATTGTATCAACAATTATCGTCGTGTGTATCGGAACATGACTAAAAATGCGATATTTAATTTAAGAAAATAAAGATAATCTCGATATTTTACATACGCACACACATGCGAATAATATTTTAATTATTTTATATTATTTCTTTAAAATTGGGAGGTATGTGAAATTTTATTATTTTCGATAGCTGTTGTTGAAAAATACATTATACTAAATAATAATATAGTAATAATTAAAGTTATATTCATGGCAATGTAACAAACAGTATCATTAATTAATCAAGCTTAAAAACGATAATTTCGAAAGAAATTTTACTTTACATTTTCGATTTACTTTTTCTTATGCATAGAGTCATCTTTTAATCACTCGATTTTATCATCAACAATCGACCATTCTGAATTAAACGACGCTTTTGGTTATGTGTACACACGATGACGATCCCACGTGTGCCCGCGCATTGTCACGAGATGTCAAAATGCCAAAGCGTCAAGTTTTCTTTTCTCTTACCTGATGTCTCGTCCTGAGCCAGGCTGTAATCCGCGAGACATGCGAAGAGGAACACGACACCAAACTGTATCAGTAGCGTCGCCAGGTTACCCATTTCTCCGAGTCGACATAATTCCCTCGTTACGACGACAAGAGAGAGATCACTACGCGAGATCGCGCGAGTTCATAATCGGTCCCGTTACACTCTTTTCGCAGCAGTGAGCAATGACACGTCCACTCCGCGCCACGTTCGACAGCAGACTACAAGATTGCATACTGCATACTCCGCATACTGCACGAGACACGAGACACGAGACCGCGGCGCTTGTGTCGTGATTTACTCCGGCAGGTTACCAACCGGGTTGGCGCCGCCCTCTTACGATTGACCCGCGAACCAAATAACAAATGATTCGTGCAAATAACGTATCTACATGTGCGTTATGTTATGTATGTATGTGAACGAATATAGAATAAAATAATGAGTTTACGTATGTGTAAAAAAAAATAGATTAAAATTTACTCCTATTTACTCAGAAAATAAATTTATAAATTTATCTATAAATCTCTCTCCTGTTTATTCAGCAAGTAAGCGAGTTTGTGCGTTGCCATTTGAATTGTTAATCGAAACTTTATAATATACGTATACATACGTTACGACGAACATTCGATATTTTTACTTCTCGTATGAAAAATATCCACGATAACATTTCGACGCGCGCGAAAGAGCTTTTAAATAGTAAATAATTGAAAAGAAATACGAAATGATTCTCAAGATATCACCACGATCGGTCGACTCGAAACGACGAGGTACAATCGTCGATCGTCGATATCTAAACTGAAGATTGAAGATGGCTCGGCGGGAAAAAGAGCCAGTTTGAATAGATTTTGGACGACCTCGTGTGGCAAAAGCGCGAAATTCCAAACGAATAAAGATAACCAACCAATAAAATACACAGGTCTAGTGAATAAACTATAGTGACATTAGATAAAAAACGAAACATTGACAATAGAGATTAATCGAATTCGAGAACATGAAAGAAATGTATCGATCTTTTAATAAACATCGATTAATCTATCTAGGACGTGTTCCGATATTCACTGCCAGTACTGAAAATCTATAATTTACGTCACATATACTATAGATTCTCAGTACTGGCAATGAATATCGAAACTCGAAACACAGCCCTAATATTCCTATCATGTGTTTATGCTTTTAAATTAAAAAGCGTTGTCTAGGCAACATCACGCCAAACATGATACATTTGTGAATTTGTCCAATCATAAAATCTATGTAGATTAAAATGTAGTGATATATCGATGTTTATCAATATTTTATAAAATCTTGTAAAATATATCTAATGTATATAGCGAGTAATGTTCGCGAAGTAAAGTTTCTGTAAATCTTTCTGCTTCTTAATGCTAGTCTCATAAAAATCTCTATTTATGTTATTTAAGTTACAAAAGTGTGATACACTATGCCTTTATTCTCCAATAAATTTTCTCCGAAAAAGACACCGACTAGAAAAGCATCAGTTTTCTTAGCAAACAAAAACTTAAGCCCTAAAAGAATAGAGAAAGAACTTGGCCCTGAAGTAGGCCCTATACGTCTTCGTCTTGGAGATCAGGAAGCTGTTTTTGAGGCTGGCCTATGGATTCCAGGTGAATAATAATTTATGTACATTTATGTACATTTTATCCCACAGAAACTTTACTTTTTGTTTTCTGATTTTCTTGCGTATAATAAATAATCATAGATATTGTCTTAAAATCTAGTAAACTTTGTTTTAGAATCTGGCAAAGTGGGAGGTACTTTCAAAGAGAATGAAAAATTAAAGAAAGAATTGAGACGATTGGAGGAAGAGAATAACTTATTAAAACTAAAGTTTGATGTACTATTAGATATGGTAACTCTTTTTACGCTGCACTTTTTAGAAAATTACACAGTTGCCTAAAATAAAAATCCACTTTTATATGAAATAATTTTATCAATATTATAGCAAAAGATACTAATAACAATATGTAACGATAAGTGAAATGTATTATGACAATTTGGATACTATCTTATAGCTAACGCAAACAACTGCCGAGGCTCACTCGCAAAGAGAAGAATTGGAGAGATTAAAAAATAATTTTTCTCATAATAGGAGAATCGTCGCTTAGTGCTACGCATTGTTACTGACACTTAAGGAAATAAACAACGACTACAAAGTATATACACATCAATTAATTTAAGTACTTGCTTAAAAAGTCAAACTATATCTTTTAGCTTTATATTTAAATGAGCTAAGTTCAAGAAAATGCAAGTAGTTTTAAAGATGAAAACGATGTATGACACTGTTTTGTTATACTTTTAAGCTCTTTACAATTTCAGTTTCATTATTAATTATACATTATATACTGTACAACTGTGTATTTACAATACTGTATTAAAGAAAATTCGCTCATTAGTGTCGCATATTTTCTGGACATTTGTTTTTTGTATGTCCTATAAAAAGATAATTTATCATGTAAAAAAATATATATAATTAGGATATGTAACAATAGATATAATTGGGAGAGATTATAATAAAAATATTACCATTCCGAAAAAACTAATAGATTTGATAAAATGATAAGTTCTCTATATATGCATTACCTTCAATTCCACAATTCCCGCACTTTCTCTTGCCGCCAGTGAGTCTAGGCCTTTTAGGAGCACTACCTCTTTGAGGAGCTCTGCTATTAGTCCCTCCTTTATTTACAGTGAAATTGTTCCAATCTGTATTTCCACGATTATCGATATCAATCTCGTCTGCCCACTTGAAAAAGTTACAAGTGGAGTTCATACCTTTTGGACATCCATAAAATTGTCGTCCTTTATTGGGGCCATCTTTTTGAACCGTTAATCTAATATGCGAAAATTAATATTTTTAGCAGAGCTAAAGAGCTAATATATATATCATTGATATTATTCCGGATTTCAATAAACACATCTTATTAATTATCGATATCAATTGAATCCAATCGATGGAATTTTTCCGGCCGGAGTTTACTTACTTTCGAGCAGGCTGATTACACTGGCACACAATCGTATCGTTCGTCGATGAATTTCCCCAATCATTGTTAAAGGTACTTGTGCGAGAAAAATGACCAGCATTAACATCGTTTCTATCTAGATTAGATACTCGACTCGAACTCGATACTTCGCTCGCTGCGTTATCTCCAGATTCGGCGCTATCAGATGCCCACAAGAAAAAATCGCAGCCACTACCTTGCGGTTTAGCACATTTGTAAAACAAACGACCTAGAATTATAAAAATATCATCATTTACAACAATTTACGCGACAAATATTTATATACGCCTTCCAGTATGGCTATCACTTACCTTTATTTGGTCCTTCTTTTCTTACTGTTAATTGAATCGCAGTCTCGTGACATTTGCACATAATCTCTGCATTATTGTCAATATTACCCCATACACTAGTTTTATTGTCCATGTTGCGTGCATTTCTGGGCGCAGGTTGATCCGACGAATTGTTTAAGTTATTTGTATTAATCCAAGAAGTAGAGTTTTCTCTATTATTTGATACTGTTGTATTTCCACGAACGATATTCGATCTATTCGGTCGAGAAACGTTAGAACTATGGTTTTGTGCGCGTCTTTCAGATATGCCAAAAGTTCTGATCGAATCAATATTGTTATTACTTTGAACAGATCTTATATTATTAGAAATCGACTGTTGTTGTTGAGATATATGCGATTGGGATGTACTTGAAGTAGAAGTGAAGCTCGATGTATTTCTCGTATTATTATGAACAGTATCTGCTCTTTCAGTTTGTCTGATACAATCCTGTTTTATGTTTAATATTTCATTAAATGTGGTATCACAGCCTATACAAGTTGTATATAAGGTACCATACAAAGGTATCACATTTCTGACTAATGTGAATTTCAATTTGTGAATATTTTCCGTGCACTAAAAATGTGAATCATATATTAGTTATTAATTTATTCTTTATTGATAAGCTGTACATGCATAATCATGTGAGATATTACGATTGAAGATATTATTCATTTACCTGATTGCATGTTTCATTTAAAACCTCTACATCTTTTATAGCTTCTGGGAACCAAATCACATTGAGACATGTTGGATATCCCATGCAACTAATATATTTTCCTTTGCCTTGCTTTCTCTCTTTCAAAACCATATTAGAGCCGCACTTCGGACATTTGAAAATAGTGACGTCTGTGACCAAAGAAAACTGTACTTGTTCGGTTTGAGTAGGTCTCTCATCAAGATACTGTGCTAAAGCATCGTCTATCATATTAGCGCGTTCCATTGCCACTTTGAACACTTCGCGATATGTGTCGATTTGATCTCGTAACACTACATTCGGATCTTTCTGACGCTGGCATATCCTATGATAATAATTATGTCATAAAAATCTTTTTGTATATATATTTTGGAACATGGGAGAGAGAAGAAAGAGAGAATTATCTAATTACACACAGAATTGTTAATTGCCTTACAATTTTAAATCTTTTTCTAAACTCGCACGCAAATGCGGTTTAGACATTTGGAATCCCATATTATCGTATCCCATGACCAAACCAATTCCCAACTTGCCCGGCATGAAATGTTGATTATCTGTTAAGCCTACATATTGTCTGGATTTAATGGTGTCGATGTGTTCGGCGTGAGTGGCGTCTGTGCCAATGCCGTGTTTATCCATCAGTGCGATCAATTCGGCTTCAGTCAGCAAGTTCGGCGCTGAAGTTTTTTCTTCCACCATGTCTATGCTGGTTGGTCTGAAAACTTGCCTTTGCTCATAAGAGTGAATCTGCTTATCGTTCCATTTATCGTATATATACACGTCAAGATAATTCCTTGCTATGATTTCCAAGCCGTTAGCCGTGAATTTTTCTCCCGCTATATCGATTTCCACCGTTGTTTCACGGCCTTCCGCATTCTTTGATAGACAAGCTAGAAAATGTCGAACTACAAATTCGTAGACTCTTGCTTCGTTTCCTGTTAATAAATTACAATTAATATAATTAATAACGCGATCGATTTAATATTGGATAAAAGAACAAATATCTTGAGAAACAAACCTTGCAAATTGTCAGTGTATTTGGTGGGATGGATAGGAGGATGCGCTTGATCAGTCTTCTTTCCTTGCCTGGGAGTTATCCCAGATTCCAATAAACCTCGTGCAAAATCACCCCATGCCCGATGGTTTACTTGTTGTTCTACTAATGGTACCAGATTTAATTCTTTTGGGAATATATTAGTTTCAGTGCGTGGGTAACTAATGAGACCTTGGGTATACAATTTCTCTGCTATTCTCATCGTCTCCTTTGCGTTTAAGCGCAATTTACGAGAGCCTTGCTTCTCTAATTCCTGTAAATAGATGATTTTTTAACTAAAATGATAAACTTCTCTTCCAATATGATAACTCAATTACTTACAATGGTATCCAGAGGTAAAGGTCTCCATTTGCTTTTTGGTTTGCATGTTACTTTTTCCACTGTAGCTTCCGGCCGTTCCAAACATATATCCAAAAAAATCTGGCAAGGTATCTTCTCAAACAATCTTACTCTGGCCCATCTGAATTCTATCGATACTCCATCGCGATCGTCTATTACCTTTATCTTCCAGTATGGCTCAGACTTGAATCGATCGATGGCTAGAAACCTTTCAACTACAAATCCAAGTGTTGGAAACTGACAGCTTCCATAACTAATAAGCATATCTCCGAGAGTATTGGGAAACACTTTCTGCAACCTTAAGGTCTGAAACCTCGTGAACGCAGCGCCTATCAACATGTTAAAAAATTCATATATAGAGATTACAACTTGCATTATGAATCCAATCAACAATATAATCTTGATTAACAAAATCAGTACCAATTCTTAAATCTAATTCGCTTCTTACATCTACAGCATCACTTATCGCCTTATCTGGCTCCCCCAAAGTTGACAGAGCTCTTTCGATAGACTGTTTTGTAATTTCTGAGAATTTTGCCCTGAAATGTAATAAGCTTGTAAACATTATCATAGATCTATAAAAAAACATGTTTCTAATTACCTGTATACACGAATATTTGGCTTGATCGCTTGACAGACCTGTATAATTTCAAAACCTATATTTTCCCCTTCTCTATCACAATCTGTCCAAATAATCAATGCATTACAAGATTGTATTTCTCGCTCCAGGGTTTTCTTAATCTTTATGTAACTTTCTTCCGAGCACTGTTTGGATACTGGAGCATCAAATAAGCTTAGCGGATGACAGCCCTGCCATTTACGATAAGCTCCTGTGAATTCGTAGCCTAATAAGTGGCCGGATACAGATGTCATCACCATTTGACAGTTTTGGTCCCATAGTTGTATATTAAATTCAAAAATTTTATTATATACGGATAAGCCTTCCCTCTATAAAAAAAGGAAAAAAAACAAAAAACAGAAACAGTAATTAAATAATACATTTGTGTCATCTAATGCATTTGTAAAATAAATATAATCAAACAAAGCATAAAAAGATAACATAGAAACAATATAATAAAAAATTATATAATTGATAGAATACTGTGTAATATATAATTGTTTACCTTTCTGCTCGTACCGCGTGATAAATAAGCAGCGATACTCTTAGCAGCATCATGCTTCTCAGCAACATTGAGAACTTTCATGTTACACTTTGAACAGTATCGGCTTATCGAATAAGAGACATTTGTAAGTTTGGACAAGTTGCTGGCTGTGCTTTTAAATGTCAGATTATAAAATATTGTACAATTTAACAGGATATTATGCAATTTGAAAAAGGCCATAACACAACTTCCGACATTGTCGATAAATTTCAATTGAAAATTTATAAAATAATTTAAAGTTCAATACTTTGAAACACGTGTAAATACGATGTTGACAATCAATTTTCTTAATTAATTATATAATCGGAATAAATATGATATCTGAGGAAAATAAAAACGTCTTTCCGATAACAGATTGAATTCGTTCCAAAATTAGATTTTTCTGAAGTATGCAGTCTGGTAAATATCTGATAAATCTTCTGCTGTCTGCTATTCCTGAAACGCTGAAACTACACGTGTTGTCAACGAGTTGAAACGATGAATTTGTTAAACACGCTGATTGGCTATCTCAATAGGGACTCTAAAAATTTTATATTACAGCCAATCCGTATGTTCAATAAACTTTTTATCGTACAAAAAAATAACACGACACAACAATAAAATCAAATAAAATAACATGAAATTCTCGTATAATAAAAATCTTCCGTAATACTAGAAGAAACAAACCCTATATCTATTAATATCAGGTTTATTAATTTTACCTCGGCAAGCATTGGGAGACGGCAATTGGCTGTTGCGTCAGAAATTTTCATTTATTTTAAATATTCCTAATCTTTTTTTAATTAATTTGACATCCTGACATCCTGTATCCAAAACACGTCGCATTTCAGATGCTTTTCAGGGACTTTTACATTTTGCAAGTTTCGAAACTCGAAACATGTCGAACGCAAACTAGAAAGAACTGGAAACTGGAAGTAGCAGTAGCGAGCAGTAGCATTTTTCAATATTTTGCATAACAATTTTCGATTTGATTGATTTGTGTTTTTATTCGAGTACACGTAAGTATAGAGAGTATCGCATCGCATTATTTTAACGAAGAGCAGAGATGTTTCGCGCGAGAAATTAACGTACGTATTGGATAATGTGATCTCTATTTTGTAAATCATACTTTTTTCCACGGCCAACATGACCAAAGAATTTACGAAACATAGCGACATAGCTTCGTAATATCGGATATGAATTGTAATTGCTAATGGCGTGATTATGCTCAACGATTGTACATGTTATTTCCTATGTACATAAAGATTTCACATGTGTCATTGAGCGACTGTTATGTCATATCGCTTTAAGCTGATTGTCCTTTTTTCGCCTTAAAATTGCAGATGTAAATACGCAATTATGCCGTTACTTCATTCATATATGCAGACGTGATTTAAAGTTATGTTACATTATTATATTAAACTATTTTTTTCACAGCTCTAATTCGACTTTTGAGATTGATTTTTCTTTCCATGTGCAAATATGAGCCACACCATGTACATCTGTTTTTTAAAATCCTTTTTCGAATGATTTAAATTTTCATTGAGAAGTCGGGGAAAAATATGCTTGTTTCATAAATAAGTAGCGCTGATGTCACGTCTTATTTTATATAAAATCTTCTGAAATATCACAAGATGGGATATTACAATTGTGTATATTTTTTATATTATTATCATTTTGGTTTATATGATTATCTGTGCAAGAGTATACGAATTCATACCTTATATGTTCTGTTTTCAGCGATAAAAGATCACTTCTGATTTCCTACTCGTGATACGTGTTTTTTTCCCAATACCAAACATGACGGAGGACATGTTGGGTGCAGATATTTGCAGGGTCTGTCGATCCGAAGGCCTTGCAGACAGACCTTTGTTTCATCCTTGCATTTGCACGGGTAGTATCAAATGGATACATCAAGAGTGTCTGGTTCAATGGATGCGTTACTCGCGTAAAGAGTACTGCGAACTATGCGGCTATCGCTTCTCGTTTACACCTATATATAGTCCAGACATGCCGCGCCGTTTACCGCTAAGAGATGTTGTAGGTGGTTTATTTTCAAGTATTGTCACTGCTGTCAAGTACTGGTTACATTATACACTAGTGGCGATTGCATGGCTAGGAATTGTTCCTTTAACCGCGTGCCGCACATACAGAGCTCTTTTTAGCGGTCCTCTTGATTTAGTTCGAGTAAGTGACAAATATGTATAAACTGATCTTAATATTTTTACTATCAAAAGAAAAAAATTTATAAGCTCATCGATAACTTTGTATTTGCAGATAATGTCGTTACCGATGGATATGCTCTCCACTGAAAATATATCATCGGATGTATTTCATGGTTGTTTTGTAGTTACTTGCACTTTATTTGCGTTTATCGGTTTAGTATGGTTACGCGAACAAATTTTACACGCGGGTGGTCCTGACTGGCTCGAAAGAGACAATGTGCAGTTGCCCCCGGTCGACAATCCACCGCAAGCAAACGCACAACAGCCACAGCAACCTCAAGAACAACGTGCCATGCCGCAAGAAGTTCAAGACAACAATAATGTCCCTCCTTTTGTTGATCCACCTATTCCGCAAGAGGGAGAGTTACGTAACGAAGGTATTTATAACAATAAACATGTTTCGTATTTTTGAAAGTGGCAAAGATATACAGACTATACAGCAGCATGATAGACTTGATTGGATGTATTTGTCTCTACAACATTGTTCAGTGATTTTTTTTATTTAAATTGGATCATCTACAGATCAACGTCCTGTGTATCAAGAAGTGGCAGAAAACTTGGTTAATAATCCACGAATTGGCGAACCCGAAGATCTAATGAGAGATGTACAAGCACCAATTCCTCCTGCACCACCTCTTCCAATTAGAGATGAACTTGGTGCAGACGGCGCACAAGTGAATGCTGCAGGTGGTGAACGTTGGGCGAGAGGGCACGCGGTACAAGCACATGTGGTAGGACAAGCACAGGGTGAAGCTGAGGAAGCAAATTGGAATCCTATGGAGTGGGATAGACCTGCTGAGGAACTAACATGGGAACGTCTCTTAGGATTGGATGGGTCCCTCGTCTTTCTCGAACATGTCTTCTGGGTTGTATCCCTAAATACTTTATTTATCATGGTGAGTTTATTTATTTTATAAGAATAGTTTTGCCTTTTTCATTTCTTTTTTACTTACGCTGCATGTACACAAATATATACGTATATATATATATATATATAATTTTTTTTTTACAGGTATTTGCTTTCTGTCCCTATCACATCGGTCATTCCACGATAGCGAGTTTAGGATTGCAGGAACACGCGGCGGCGTCACACTTTGAAGGTTTGGTGACAACGTTGTGTGGTTACTGCGTTATCGGAGTTTGCCTAGTGGTCCTCCATACTCTTGCCGCTCTGTTAGGCTTTCAGCGTTCCCAGCGAATCTTAGGGCTTTGCTACGTTATCGTCAAAGTTTCTTTACTCTCCGTCGTGGAGATCGGCGTACTTCCATTAGTTTGCGGCTGGTGGTTGGATATTTGCTCGTTGGCGATGTTCGACGCCACACTTCGAGATCGAGAATCCTCGTTCAGACTCGCTCCTGGCACATCTATGTTCATTCATTGGCTGGTGGGAATGATCTATATATATTACTTCGCGTCGTTCATCCTTCTCTTACGCGAAGTTTTGCGACCCGGAGTTCTCTGGTTTCTGCGAAATCTGAACGATCCTGATTTCTCTCCTATACAAGAAATGATACATCTTCCCATACTGCGACACGTACGGCGACTAGTCGCGTCCGCGATCATATTTGGCACAGCGATTTTACTCATGTTGTGGCTGCCCGTGAAAATTCTGCGATGGGCTTGGCCAGGATTTTTACCCTACACCGTGACTGTACAAAGTGAAGCTCAGGTAAGAAAAACATTACAGCAATCACATTATTTTATCTTAATCCTTATTATAACGACTATTCTTATGTAAAGTATATGTATGTGTAAATTAAATGTGTGTATATACATGCGTGGTTCTTTAAATTATAGGTTAGCGAACTTTCATTGGAATTGCTTCTATTGCAAGTGATCCTTCCCGCGTTATTGGAACAATCGCATACGCGCACATGGTTAAAGGCTCTAGTAAGAGCGTGGTGCCGCGTGGTAGCGTGGATGCTAGATCTGCAGTCATACTTGTTGCGTGATCAGGCGGATGATCCGGGATTAGCAGTCATCGAGGAACCACAACATCCGGACTTGGGCGCTGCGCATCAAGCGTTATTACAACGGGAGGGACCTACGGGATTTCAACCTTACACCAGACCACGGTGGTTCCCCGCGCGATTGGTCGGGCTTTTGTTCTGCGTTTGCGTATCGCTCGTGATCGCCAGTCTAGTCGCTATGACGCTACCCGTATGGCTTGGACGTAGAGTGATGGCATTATGGATGGTAGGGGCACCTGCTCCGTCGCCGCCTGTTTTACCACCTGCGGTGACCAGTTCCGGTAAGTCATCTACAAATTATTCCTTTCTGATATTGTTATATCCCTTCTTATACACAGAGAGCAATTTTTATAACAAATTATATATATATATATTAAGAAAATATTGCGAAAATGTACATATTTTTGATGATTTTCATTATATGTTTTATGTTGCTTTCATTGTTTTTAGACGGTGGTGATACTGTAGGCCCTCTGTCCGGAAGAGTACACGAAGTGTACACGATAGCGTGTGGAACATATGTGTGTTGGGCCGCGGCGCGAGGCTTAGCCCTGGCCTTCTCCTGGTTGCCTCGTGGCCGCAGAGCCATCATAGACCGAATTAAACACTGGGCGATCTTGGGCGTCAAGGCCTCGGTGGCATTCGTACTGCTTGTCGGTGTCATACCGCTTTTATTCGGTCTTCTTCTCGAGTTAGTGGTGGTGGTTCCGTTGCGCGTTCCGTTGGAGCAAAATCCCATTCTATTTATCTGGCAAGATTGGGCCTTGGGTGTACTGTACACGAAGATAGCTACTGCTGTGACGATGATGGGGCCCGATTGGCGAATACGTCTCGCTATCGAGCGGGCGTACAACGACGGGATAAGGGAAATGGATCTAAAATTTGTCATCAAGGAATTAGCAGCTCCCGTTATATGTTGTTTCGGCCTTGCCCTCGCGATTCCTTATGCCGTGGCCTACGGAATAGTTCCACTTTTCGTGACCAATCTGCAGACCCAGATCCTCATTGCCAGACGTTTATATCCTTTTCTTCTTTTAGTGAATCTGGTCTGTGTAGTGATCTATTTTCAGATACGCCAGTTTAAGAAGTTGTACGAGCATATTAAGAACGACAAATATCTCGTAGGGCAAAGGCTCGTCAACTACGAACATCGTAACAAATCGCAACAACATCAATCACAGAGGTCGAGCTAACAACATCAGTAATATTATACAAAACATGAATTATGGTGGAAGATGAATTCTAGGATTAGCTTCGTGTACATTCTTTAACAACTACTTATGATCAATAATTTATATTATAGTCATGAGATTTTATTTTTAATATTATAATTTATTGATGTAAAGCGATACTGAATAAATCAAAAAGACTGTTATCCAGTGTATCGCTCCTCATTTTGATGCTTCGCAGTTTTAATATCATGCGAATTTCAATTATCTTATATGATAAATTTTATTATCTTAATTTATAAATAATGAGTGCGATTTGAATCGCATTATTTATGGTAAGAACACTTATGGTTAGAATTAAAATAAATGGGTGTTGAGAAAACAACATACCATTTCATTCTTTACTAGATAGTTACAAAATTCTGATATAGTAGCATGTCTATTCTGTAATTTCTCGGCAATAATATAAATATCACTATCCTTAATGTGTTATTAGATAGATAACATATAACATGTAAACTGCATAAAGCATATAATAACGATATTAGAGAGTTGGGGAATTACAGAATAAGCATACAGTATAAAACAACGCTACAAATGTAAGCCGCCTCTGTACTAAGTGTACAGAATATAATAAAAACTCTCAAGAACTTTTTGGAGCTTGGATTAACAAAAAAAGAAATGTATGAAAGTACATTGTAGTCATTGTTATGTACAATAGTAATGTAGGATATAACTTCTCGATCTTATGTTGTGGAATTTATATTAGTTTGTAATACACAAACGCACATATATATATATTAAAAGACTATCCATGATTGTAGAAAAAATTTTTTTGGATACATTTCTCATGAAATCAAAAATATTTTTGTTATAAGCTTAAACACTTGTGCGAAAATTAAAGTTTTGTATATATAAGTTACAATATTTCTCATATTGTTCATGTGTGAAGATTATTCGAAGTATTTATATATGAATCGTATGTAGATACTCTATGAAACGATATGTATATACATGTCATATTTACAATAAACTAATATTTTGTGACAAACTGATATGCAGTGTGCAATAAAACACATCTTGTTAATTTACAAGGGGATTGGAATTGTAAAGTGTTGACATATTTTTATGTAGATGCATAAGATTTTTATTAATCATATTTGGATATATTCTGTAATAAAATTCATATATATATATATATATATATATATATAATTCACTAAAAATATATCACATTTAATAATCACTCAATAAGCTTGCTAAAATGCTTTATTATTAATTATAATATGCAAACATATATGTAAAATAGTATAAAAATATTTTGATCTTGTTGTATTGGAAGGATCACACCATAAAAGTTGAAAATATAATATTTTCTTTAAAAATTTGTAATTGTCAAGAATAAAGTGTAGATTCTTTTATTTTTATAAATGTCATCATAAATGTTGAAAGTAATATTTTATTTAAAAATTTGTAATTGTCAAGAGTAAATTGTAGATTTTTTATCTTTATAAATATCTAATTATGACAAAATATACATAATTTTTCAATATTTTTCACTATATATTATCATAATAACAATTTAGAAAAAATTTTTTTATAGAGGTACATAAGATGCTTATTTTTAATAATTCATTTAAAATTTATCTTGTGATTCTTAATGCAGTGACAATCATGAATTCTTATACTCTCTGTGCTTTCTATATTTTGAATAATTATATGTACATGTAATCTGTGATCTTCCAAATTCGTCGATTTAATATAATTTCAATGATACATACACAGATACCTCACTTTATGTATATATTATTAGAAAATTTATCGTCATTGTAATAATTCTATCACATGATATAAATATCATGCAGTCAATGATATAAAAAAAATTATATGAAAATATAAATTTTCGTCTATTACTGTGGCGGTGGCAGAAGAGTTGCTTTTAAGCGCAATTCTTCTTTAATTTTCTCTACTCGTACATGTACCAAACTGAATAAATTAATCTCCTAAAAATTAAACAATATATATTAATGTAAAATTATTATTTTTATTATTATTATTATTATTATTATTAATTATTATTAAATTATATTAAATGCATATTTTAAATATAATATGATATAGTTGTACCTGTTCAATGGAAGGTTTTTTCCATTTAACAATTATAGTTGGTACATAATTCACTACATACTCTACCGTGACAGTATATTCCATTTCTTTAAGGTCTATTTTTAATTTTATGCCAGTATCACAGAGAATAACTTCTATTCCTTCTTCCTTCACATACAATACAGTAGCTAAAGTTTCAAAACCATCTGCAAGACCCACCATATATGCAAAGAATAATTCTATGCTCTGTTCTTGCACTAGTTTTGCACTGTACTTCTTTTCATTGCAATTGGCTGCAAGCCTGTTGCAAATTGAAAATGAAACTTGTTAAAGTAAACTGTGTACAATTCTTCCCCACTGTTATATCGTATTATAAACATACTTTGAACACAACTTAGCTGTCCATTCCTTTGATAAAGATTTATCTTCTATTGCTGCATAAAGCAAACGATGAACTATACAATCGGAATATCTACGAATAGGAGAGGTAAAGTGTGTGTAAAGCGGCACATTTAATGCGTAATGTCTCAAATCTTGCAATGAAGAAATGGTAGATGTACATATGTATTCCGCACGCTAAAATTTTCAACATTTTAGAATTATTATATATTTTTTCCTCCTGTTTCTCTTACTTCTCGTTACATAAGAACAATTTATAAATTAAATACATAGATAATATTAAAAATAAGATAATATAAAAAAAGATAATATAAAAAATATTAATACCTATAAAAACTCTTACCGTCATAGATTTTGAACACAAATTTATGATAACCATCATAATGTATTTCATAGAACTATTAACTAAGGTAGCATTATATTCTGGATCATAGCGACGGATGCTGGCCTGTAAGTTTTTAGCTGTTTCGCCATCCAAATGAATTCCATATTTTCGCAATGTATCACAAACTGTATTAAGAGAATATTTGGACGGATCTCTATGAATACGTAATAAAGCTGTTTCAGGAATTGCAGTATACAATTTTACAGCAACTGTTATGTTTGCTAGCAGCATAAATTCTTCTATAAGACTGAAATAATATATACATTCAAATAATTAAACTGATAATTAAAAACTGAGATATTTTCTTTCTACATATATAATGCAATGTAAACATAATTTAATAAAAATATATAAATGAGTGGAAACTGCACCTGTTACTATCTTTCTTTTCCTCTAGACGATAATTTACAGGCATTGGGATTTTGTGTTCTTGACTGAGCATGGTATCCATACATATCTGTAACTTTGGTTGATCTAACCTGAGTGCACCATTATCAAATCGTTTATTTCGCAATTGATTGGATAATTTAAATAAATTATTCACTATATTGGACAATGACGACATTGTGTAATTTCCTTTTGTATCGAGAAAATCTTTGAACTGACTCTTTCCTGGATTTTCAATCATGGCTTGAGCCATGTCATAGGACATTTGACAACATGACCTTATTACAGTTTTTGCAAAACGATGTTTCACAATTTCAGCATCTGATGTCATTTCCCAGATTATGGAAAAAGCTAATTTATCTTCACCAGCTGATAAGGAACAGATTTGACAGAGCTTTTCAGGTAACATGTGGTATGTGGTATGTGGCAAATAAATGCTAGTAGCTCGTTTAGAAACTTCCATATCTAGCGGGGAAAAAAATTTTAAATAGTGTGTAACATCCGATATATGCACTCCAACCTGAAATTAATAAAACATATATATAAATATCTATACCTAGAGACACATAGTAAGCTTATCGATTAATGCCTTCTATATGTTATGTAAATCTAACAAATACAATTACTTCATAGTTTCCATTGTCCAAGACTTTACAAGAAATGGCATCATCCATATCAATAGCTGTTGCAGGATCTATCGTGAAAATACATTCATGCCTCCAATCTTCCCTATCCTTTATATCAGCATCTGTTAAAATATAATCACTACCTGGCAGTTCTTCCAATAACTCTTTTCGATATGGTGATACATCTAAATTATGTCCAAGTATTAATGCCTGTAATTCTGTTTCTATTTCGCCAGTTTCACCGACTACCGAAAGAATTCGTCTGCATATAAATAAAGTATATACTACACAAATATATTATATACAAAAGATCCTTCAAATTTGCTTAATGCAGACCTACCCAGATGCATATAACTGTTCCCAGGAATCGATATTAACAAGAAACATCATATTCTTGTAAAGCTCAGGTTGGCTATGATATAAAGATGGTATCGATTCAAGAACTACCAATGGTATTCTTTGATCTTTTGGATGAAACAGTACAAGGGAATCTTTTTTTCTCAAGTATCCAATTGCTCTTCTTGAATGTACTTTCTCTAATATACAAACAACTTTACCAGTTTTTTGTATTTGCCCATTGGGAAATTTATACCAATATTTTTCAAGATTTACATGCGCTACAACTAAATCTCCATTAAAAGCACGATTTCTGTTATGGGTACCAATAATTAACAAATCGCGCTCTTCATCATTTTCCATACGTAAGTAAGCATATTTACAAGAAGTAGGATTCACACGAAGATTTCCTTTTACATATTGTACATTGTTAAAAGTTTGCTTTTTCAAAATTTTCTTCATTTTTGATAAAGATATATAATCTGAAAATATTTGCTTTGTTTTCAATGTTTTCTGTGGATTTTTTTCTTTTTGTACTGTCTTGCTTTTTATAATTTCCTTGCTCTTATAATAATGTTCCTTTGATATATTATCCGTACTTGATTCATTTATTATTGTCGTTACTTGTGTTTTTGTTTCATTTTTCTTCCAACATTTCCTTGTCAATTTATCATGCATGATGGCCTAGCAGAAAAATATATAATTGTTCTTGTATAAAATTGGAGTTTTATGAAAGTTATTATAGAATATATAGCAAAAAGAAAAAGAGAAGAATACTAAACTGTGTTATATGTATTATATAAGATAGTTATATAAGCAAGATTAATATATACAACATATGTGTGTCAAAAAAATAAAAAAATTATAAAAAATATTTTCTGTATACATATCCAACCTGATCTGTAACTAAACTATTAGTTTTCCATTCGTCGTTAGTAGATATCAAAATACCATCTTCTTTTCTTTTTGTTTTCATAAATATATTTTTACACTGCACAGTACTAAGATGATTTATAGCTTTTGATGTAGGATTCAAAGAGACTTGCGACATATTTCCATGCTGTGTCAAATCTTTCATATTATCTTGTACAGCTTCCGAAAAATTGGATGCAGCTTGTGCCTCATTTTCATCTGCTGAAATCTTATTGTACTTTGTACCTTTCCATCTCATTGATTGGAGACTGAAAGACACTTTGAGTTTATTCGCAAATTGTGCAGCAAATTTCACTAATTCATTGTTTTGAATAACAAATGTTTCGTCTGTTAAGGAATCTAACCACAAATGCGTAATGCTGCGATATTTTTTACGACGAGATGAAAGTCGCATTTTTTTCATTTTATCAGCTTTCAACAGTGAATATATAGGCATGATGACGTAGAGCAGTTGGCGATAGCAATGATATAAGGATTACAGCCGTATCTAATGCGAGAAATACAATTAAGAAAGATTATAATTTTTTTCACAGATATACACAGATATATTAAGGTTAGCATAAGTAAAACACTGAAAAAATCAAACGTATATTTCCACCGTTAAAAAGCAAAGGTCGACATATGGTGGTACCTGTTATCTATATTAGATCGCGTTGAGGAAAAAGAAATAAATTCACATATTATACACGATAAAGGATATTCTGGGAAAATTTTGGTTAGGTCGAAATAAGATATCATCTTGGCCATTTTCATGTGAGTCTAACAATAATCGCAATCGCGACAAAAGGTCTGTTCGTTTTGCTTGCGTTTTGTATACTCGGATCCTACTACCCAAATTTTTTAAAAATTTATAGACATATAATATATAGGCGGAGCCTCTTCTGAGATTATGTTCCAACATAAAAATTTTCACTGACAATTTTCACTGAGCTTTATGTATGAACATACATCATACATATACATATATATGTAGCAGCTAGTAATATATATATGTATAGACGTCCATGTGAGTCTAACAATAATCGCAATCGCGACAAAAGGTCTGTTCGTTTTGCTTGCGTTTTGTATACTCGGATCCTACTACCCGGATTTTTTAAAAATTTATAGACATATAATATATAGGCGGAGCCTCTTCTGAGATTATATTCCAACATAAAAATTTTCACTGACAATGAGCTTTATGTATGTACATACATCATACATATACATATATATGTAGCAGCTAGTAATATATATATGTATAGACGTCAGTTGGCTCCTGCACACAAGAGACAGAAAACGCTTGCCGCGCGGCGAAAGGCGACGCGGCCAATCAACTTACAACTTTTCCATAAGAGCGAGAGATTGATTGGCTATCACGTCGTCTTTTGCCGCGCAACGAGCGTTGCCGCGTCTTATGCCCGCATCAGACTACGCATTGAAAATTGAAGATTGAAGATTAAAAATTAGAATTTGACTAATCAGAACAAAAGGGACTAAAATTGCTTTGTCCTAATTGGTCAAATTTCAATCTTAAATCTTGAATCTCAATCTTCAATGCGTAGTCTGATACGGGCTTTATGTGCTGCAGAGAAAACCGCTCAATAGCAATCGGACCGTGATTGGCTCTTACTTTTAGAACCAACAAATCAACGTCGACAAAGATGATAGCTGAGCGCTTTTTCTGCCGAAAGCGGCCAATATCGGAACGCATATGTTTATCCGTGTCATAAACAAGAAGAAACGATTTGAGGTTATCTCTATTCACAGATCGTGATGCAAAGTAATGATAAAAGTGATCGAAACATTTCGTAAATGAAGTAATTGTTTAATTACCACACGTCTGAGTTATACCGAAGGAATTTGAGAATGACCGAGATAGACAACAACGAAGAGCAATTGCCTCAGAATCTCGGCGACGATGTCGTTCAAGAGGTTCTCAAGACCGGCACCGACTTACGCCAGTATTCCAGACAAATCGAAAAGGAACTCAAGGAAGTCGAGAACAAGTCGATCCAAGATTATATCAAGGAGAGTGAGAACATAGCTAGTCTACACAATCAAATTGCTGCTTGCGATAATATATTGGAGGTAAGTTGATTAAGATATTCGCTGTTGACATTTCATGGATCGGATGTTATTAACACGTCGACGTGTAATTTGAGCGAACAATGAGTATTACTCACGAGAAAATATGCTTCACATATAGTCTGTTTTGATAGTTTATCTTTATGTAAAGTGATATTACTGACGAGAAAAAAACTTTCTCGGAATAAATTTCATAGAGATATTAATATATTATTTTTTAATTGCAGAAAATGGAATCGATGTTGATGAATTTTCAATCAGATTTAGGAAGTATCAGTTCCGAAATACTTTGTTTACAACGTAAATCTGTTGCTATGAGCCAGCAGCTATCTAATAGGCAAGTAATACGTGGCCCGCTCAGTCAATTTATCGAAGATATGACAGTGTCTGAAGCTCTGATCGCGTAAGAAATATTTATCAACACAATTTATAAGAGAAAATATTACATTTAGATAAACTCGAATTATATGCATCGAGCTCTTTGCAGTGGTATTATGGACTGTCCTGTGACTGAGAAGGAATTTTCAATTCAGCTACAAACCCTAAATCATAAAATTAACTTTGTGAAAGAGCAAAGTTTCAAAGATGCAAAATCTTGTCTAGATGTGACGGATATACTAGAAAAGCTAAAGATTAAGGCAATGGCAAAGATTAGGATATACTTACTAGAGCAAATTTATAAATTTAGGAAGCCTATGTCAAATTATCAAGTGCCACAGAATAACATGCTAAAATATAAATTTTTCTTTGAGTTTGTTTTGGCAAATGAAAGAAATGTGGCAGAGGAAATTTGTGGAGAATACATTGATACCATGAGCAAAATATATTATTCATATTTCAAGATGTACTCGTCGAAGCTGATGAAATTACAGGTAAAACGAAAGAATTAATGTTATTTTAAAAAAATTGAGAGAGACACAACATTTTAACTTATGATACAATTATTTTTGCAAGTTTGAAGAGAGAGCATCAAAAGATGATTTAATGGGAGTCGAAGATACAGCAAGTAGAGGTATATTTCATAAAACAACATTAAAGAACAAAGGTACTGTTTTTTCGATAGATACAAGGGGTGAAGTTTTGTCCTCTCAATTGGAAGCATCTATAATTGTACCACACACTGCCTCAAAAACACGGGTACATACTAATGATATGTACGATTACATATACTTTGGTACCCTTTAAAACATACTGATAAATCGATATATTATAATTTTATAGTATCACTATGAAGCGCTATTCAGAAGCGAACAATACGCTTTGGTTGATAATGCCTGCCGAGAATATCTATTCTTGCTTGAGTTTTTCAAGGCTCGTAATGCACAGGCATTAGATATTTTTAATCAAGTAAGATTAAGTGAATCGCATGTATATAATGATTTATTGCATAAAATAAATGGATATTGTAAACTATTTCTCTTTGTTTGATAGATCATGGGAAAAACATTAAACCTTATGATAAAAAACTTGCAATCATTTGTCGATGATTGTTATGATACAATTGCTCTATTTCTTTGCTTGCATTTGGTGATGCGTTATCAATTGATTTGTCACAAAAGAGCTGTACCAGCATTGGATAAATATTGGGACACTTTAACAGCTATAATTTGGCCTAGGTATTTAAACACGCTTATATTCAAAAGTATTAATTGTAATAATAATTCTTTTAGATGCTTTTACAATTTGCACAATTACATCTATTTTTTAGATTTCAAATGGTGTTCCAGTTAAATATACAGAGTATAAAAGATTGTGATCCATTAAAATTGAACAAAGAAACTGGTCCACATTATGTAAGTATCGAAAAGTAAAAGATATTGTTTTTATATCATATATGTAGCATCGTAATAAATAATTGTATAATAGTGTTCAATATAATCATGTATTTTTAGATTACCAGAAGATATGCGGAATTTAGCGCAGCAATCGTAAGTGTAGTTGAGGGATTCCCTTGCGAAGGAGCAACTCAATTACTAGCAGAACTGAGAGAAGCTGTACAATGCTTCTTGTTTAGAATGGCAGCCATTTTCCAAAACCGGACGCATCAATTAATATTTCTTATCAATAATTATGATCTGGTACTTGGAGTATTAATGGTAAGTAAATTCAACTATATGCATGGAAAAGAGCCTATACGCTTCATATATATTGTATATCAAGAGATAACAAATGTTATACTTAACTTAAAGGAGAGAACACGAGACAATTCCAAGGAAGCGGAGAGCTTTCGCGAGCAATTGAACGCCCGTTCCTCCGAGTTTGTCGAGGAAGTCTTGAGCCCGCATTTTGGTGGTATAATCCAATTGGTGAAGGAATCGGAAGCTCTGATAGAAAAGGGCCAAGTCGACGATTTGAAACGGCAGGAGGGGAAAGCATTGGCTTTGGTGCAATCTTTCACAAATAATTGGAAACGAGCGTTAGAAGAGATACATCGGGAAGTATTAAAATCATTTCCCAACTTGGTGCTCGGCGGTGCACTAGTGCAACGCGCGATGACGCAGTTGGTGCAGTATTATCATCGCCTTCATAAGATCCTGCCGCCGAATGCGCGCACGCAACTTACAAACATACACCACATAATGGTAGAAATTAAAAAATACAAGACGAATTATTAGGCAACTTCTTGATGAAGTTGATCCAAACCTAAAGGACGATCAAAGCATTAACCACTTATTATATAATAAAAGAATTATCTCCTAATATTGTATATAGCATTTAACTATTATGTCTATTTAAAAGTGATAATTATTTATTAAACAAAGATGCAAATTTTGTTTCATTACCAAATATTCTTTCCTTGATGAAATTGGGAGAGAAGAGAGAGAGTATAAATATAATCCTTGTATAAATATAATCTCTCGCGCAGAGAAATAAATTCTGTACATTTATTTATAAAATAATACAAGCTACAAATAAGATGCTAAGTACTCACGGTATCGCGTTACCATTCTATACAATAGTGATTAATTCTCCGTACTCTTATGCACATGGTACGAGTACATCGGATCACTGTAATGTGTATGTGTATGTGTGTACATCTATATCTTATTGTATATAAATTAGTATGTATACATACACAATGTTAAGAGTGAAGTCTCGTTATTTCCTCGTCAAATTTCGCGACACCTATGGCATAAATCGTTAATTTATTGATGAGTAAATCCAATTGCGACGTGGGGCGAGCATATATTTATGCAAGCATGGTTATACTAATCGCTCGTATAATCGAATTGCTATGTGCATTCTCCATCGCACTTGTGTAAAAAAAATTATGTCCACCTTATATATGCTTTTCAAAAAATTGTACATAAATGTTACGTTACGAATGATATCACCTGCATGATTGCAACCTACGCTGCAATTCGATATCGTTGATTCACATACTCATCATTCAAACCGCAAAAATTTACAGAATTCCGTCAATAGCGTGCAACACTCCATTCGTTGCTGGCACATTATGAGTTACAACGTGTGCCTCATTTATCCGTACTCGTCCTGAAACAACAATAAACGCCGAGTTATATGAGGAACTATTTCGTTTATTCAATATCATTTATTTTTTATAAATATTGCGACGAGTTTTTTATGAAGAATTAATTGAAGATATTAATACGTGAAGTTTACTATTAGGATACCAGTTGTGTAATAGAATAAATGAATGAATGAAACATTTGCAAATTACGTACCACCATTTTTGTGAATATGAACTGGCGACTGCGGACGAAGGGTATCCTTTTGAATGTAATACCTCATACCCGCTGTGTAAAGAGTTGTAGGAATTACATGCCGCGAGATTATAGCTTTTGCTGCTTCCGCACCGTCCTCTTCCGTCCAGATTGACGCGCCATTTTTCACGGACGCATCGGTGAAAGCGGAATCGATCGGTGCAAAGATAGTGAATGTCTTCGGTCCTAAAATTGAAGATTTAGATATATTAAATAATAAAAACAATCGTGAAAATTTAAAACAATCCATCGAATTTGCAAACGAAAAATATAAGAAGGACATCTCTTTACTAAGGATTTATAAATCAGGAATTGCGCTTTTAATGTGAGTTTCTAATTTACCCGCGAGTGTGTCCTCTAAGCCTGACATGTGAAGCATTCTGAGGAACATAGTGAATCTCCTCTCACGATCGGCTTGCAGAGTCTGCACCAAATCTCCGACCGGAAGCGGGAACATGACCCTGTCGACAGCATGAGCGATACCTTGAGGAATCTCGATGTCCCGTTTGTTGGGTGCGACGCGTGCCCCGTTTATCGACGTTACCTATTTGCAAACAATACAAAAATTACAAATGAAGTGAAACGTGAGCCGTGCGATATCTAATTATCTTTGTTAGATCTGATTATCTTTTGTATGTTAAGTAGGCGCATCTTATGAGAAGTGGATTGACGTTATAGTGCAACATCAAGCAAAAGCACGATTTCTAGTAAATTTGCGAAGGTCAATAGACTGAATCACGTACAACCACACAAAAGCTAATAAGATGCTTAATAAGATAATTGAGTATGTGTAATTTGTAGTCAAATATATATGAATATTTTCTTATTGAAAAACATCTTGTTGAGAAAAACAAAATAATAAAAATGTGAGAGAGACATGACGATAACGCAAAATGAACGACTCAATAAGATTAAATTAAATAAAGAAATTAAAAAGATTCGAAAAGACAAAGCTTTTTTCATCAAAAAATGGAAAAATTTTTAAATATGGAATTACTTTTATATCATTCCACTCGTGATCCTGCATCGCGTATTCATTTACTCGTAATTGCGTCCCAGCGAGACTGACACCGGTCATCTCATCCTGCAGGGAGTCGATCCTGAAAGCTCCTGGTATAACGTGATGAAGGAGGAGCTGTCAAAAGATTCTCGTCAATATAAATTTCTGTATAATTCCTAATATTAGCTACAATATTTATTTAGTTTATTATATCAAGAGAGAGAGAGAAAGAGAGAGAGAGACACAGAAAGAAAGAGATTGCTTAATATTAAATTATTATTAAATTTTTTACAATTTGATCGATGACTTTATTTTTTGTTGTAATGTAATAGAGAGTTCTGTAGGAAAAAATGTGATGAATCTAAGTTTAATCGATACAATCAGCTAGCTGACATTAGGGAAATCTATTGTTAGGAAGATAAATTATTAATGATGTTTATATATATGTGGTTTATATATAACACAACAACGCGTACCCCACTTAAGAGTCTCGGATTATCGTGAAACTTCTCCTCAGCTTTCTCTGGTCCTCCCAGCTGCACTAATAACGTCCTGAATGCCTTGTCTGTAGGGACGAATACAGTATATGGACCTGTAAGTAATATTACAAAATGATACAGCATATTGTATTGTATAACAATGTTACAAAACAAAATAGATTCCTTGGTTCATTAAAAACAAATTTTCTTCGAACGAAAAAAGCAAATTTAAGTAATAAATTATCGAAAATAAGGGGCTTTTAATAATGCTTAATTAATCAAGAAAATGGACTAACAGATGATAAAATATTCAATTAAATTTTACATAACAAAATACTAATTTAAAATTTAGTTAAAAAAGAAAATGTTCTTTTTTTTAATTAAAAAGATAGCATTTGACTTGTTTTCTTTTTTTTTGTTTTAAGATAAATTATTAATGATGTTTATATATATGTGGTTTATATATAACACAACAACGCGTACCCCACTTAAGAGTCTCGGATTATCGTGAAACTTCTCCTCAGCTTTCTCTGGTCCTCCCAGCTGCACTAATAACGTCCTGAATGCCTTGTCTGTAGGGACGAATACAGTATATGGACCTGTAAGTAATATTACAAAATGATACAGCATATTGTATTGTATAACAATGTTACAAAACAAAATAGATTCCTTGGTTCATTAAAAACAAATTTTCTTCGAACGAAAAAAGCAAATTTAAGTAATAAATTATCGAAAATAAGGGGCTTTTAATAATGCTTAATTAATCAAGAAAATGGACTAACAGATGATAAAATATTCAATTAAATTTTACATAACAAAATTCTAATTTAAAATTTAGTTAAAAAAGAAAATGTTCTTTTTTTTTTAATTAAAAAGATAGCATTTTGACTTGTTTTCTTTTTTTTTGTTTTTTTTGTTTTATATTATATGATACGTATTATCTCGCATGCGTTGTTTTATATTTTAATATGTAATCTTATTTTAAGTGAAACGTTATTCAAATACGAAAGGATATGCAATCTCGTTATTGTATTTCGATTGACAGATATGCAGAGTACTTTTAATGTTAATGTATTTATGTCGATAAGAACATTTTATTTTTCAGACATTCTCTTCTCCAAGCGCAATATACATGAATCTATACTGTTCTACAATGCGTTACAAAGAAGTTCAACTTGAACTGCATTCTTCATAATGCGTCAGAAATTAATTTTACATTAGATACATAGGGGGAATAACTATTACGTAATTCTCATGTCGCATTATAACACACGTAATTTTCAATGTGTGTGTACTTTTATGTTTAATTTATGAAATAAATTTTGTTTTATTTAGAAAAAAGAAATCAAAAAGCTAAGAGAGATAATGAACTAAGCGAGTTAATTATTACGCCGATAATTATAACAAGTATTTAAATCTCACGTGTCTTCTTTGCAAGATTCCGCGTAACGAGGAACGCCTTGTCTTTGTGTTCTCGTAAGATAGAGAGGCTGTGTCGAAATCTCGGCAAGTGAGTCGTGAGAACATTTTTCTAAGGAACGTTGCACGACTAAAGCAAAACACGAGATACAAATGACGGTAGATTGTGCAAAGAGAGGCACTGCCCATCAACCGGGATTGTTTGTACAACCGTTTGAGTCTGACAAAAACTTTGAGATGTAAGTTATCCTCTGCCTTGCAATATTGTTGGATGAGACTACAGCGATCTTGTAGTATTGCATGGAAGATGTATTTTGCAAAATTATATAACATCCTTGTAATATTCTGTATATGAAAAGCTCTATCTAATCTATTATCTTATTATTTAATGTATTATTGTATTGTGAATTTATTAATTTTTGTTTCAAGATATTAAACATTTTTGTTAAATATGATACTATCATATTTTGCTCTATACGTGCTTCTATAAACTATATTCTTGCTATAAGGTTCGCAAACAGAAATGGAATTGCAGAAATGGACTTGCATTAAATCAGTTATATCCAATGTTTACAAATTTACTGTCTGCAAAGAACTTGCTCACTAAATTATCCATTTACACTGGAACGACTATATCATTGGATAACTGGAAATTTTTTTATAGAATCATAAAACACCAAACCTCTGTCAACTTTCGCTTAATAATATCGATGCAAATTGTGAGGGGGAAAGTTTAAAGGTCTCCGAAATCTTCACTTTCATTCGTAAAACGAAAAAATATTCCTTTAAACTTTAAACAGCCATCTATATATTCCCCAACACGCGCGTTTTACATGTTATAAAAAAAGTGTTATAAAAAAAGTAATTTTTTACATTAGCTAAATTATCACAAGCATATTTAACAACCGACTCACCAGTTTCATTCAACACATTATCTAATCCTGATTGCCTCAGATATTTTGCCATAGCGAAAAGACCCTCTCTCCTCAACAGCGTGGCTAAACTTTCCGACAGAATTTTCGTCGAAGGCAACACGGTAGTCCTTTCATAGTCCTTTTCCTGAGAAACGATATTCCCGTTCTGCGAACTAGATTGCAAGGTGCTGTGAGATGATGCTCTCAACGTTGACGAGGCTTCCGTCGACGGTTGTCTAGAAAAATGTATGTAAGAGGTTGTCGGCGTCACTGTAGTCACGATTTCGTTCACCGGCGCCATCGTCGGGATAAATTGGCCCTTAGTGGACGATGAATACTTGGTGGTCACACGTGGAATGTGATCTGACAAGCTCGTCTTGGTTGGACTGGGATTTAATGCGTTGTATACGTGGCCCGTGACACTAGATGCCGAGGTCACGTATTTGTCGGTCGTGGACACAGAGTTTGGTGATACCGTAACGTAAGGAAAATAATCCGTCGTTGTTGACTTGCTGAAAATTTGATTTTTTTTATTCAAAAATCCATTGCAAGCATTGTTTATTCTACTCAAGAAAAATAGATAAAATGTAAAAGAAAAGAAAATTTTGAGTGAAATATACATAGCGGAAAAAGCCAAGTGAATTATATCTTTAGAATCAAGCATGTTGCGTGGAACAGAAATATTACATCCATTTATCGCATGATTTTCAAATAAATTAAGGTAAAGAATAAGAACATATTTATGCAAATAAACGTGTGATATGCTCGTACCTTTCGCTATGTTTTGAGGTGGATCTAAGAGTGGTAGGTCTGAAGGTCGCCGCCGAAGTGCTGATAGATTGAAGAGACGTTCTGGATATATCAGTCGACACTAAATTTGGATCGAAGCTGGACTCGAAATGTTCGAGCGTGGAAGGCTGGGTAGTCGATACAAATGAGCTGGGTGGTAGTTTCAATTCGCCTTTTTTTATTCTTTCAACGATGGACTCGACATCGGTGCCGCTTTCCTTGTCATTGGCGTTGCCTTTGACACCTTGCACTTTGTAACTGCCATCCGACTGCTCTTCTAACACGACAAACGTGACCTTCTTCGCCGGATTCTGAATGATCGGTGTCTTGCCGATTTCCTCGAGCTTTCCGTCGCTCTTCTGTCGGATAATCTCGAAATCGGCGCCTGGCGGCAGCACGCCGCCCTTTGTTAACTCTTCAAAGATTGCCTTAGGCGGCTTGATGGTGGTTGTCGTCGAGGATAGCAGAACCGATGTCTGAAGGGTTGAACTGCCGGTCGACGGTGTAATGGAGGACAAACCGTTCGGCGCATGAATAACCTGAATCTTTTTGCCGTTCGGCAATATCAGATCTCTGGTAGTGACATTTCTAACGATGTCATCATTGTCGCCGGACTGAGCCAGAGCAAGTTTGAGCTGCTTTAGCAACAATTCCCTTTCAGAAACCGCGGATTGTTGGGAGCTTCTGCTTTTACCGCTGGAAGTTTGTTGCGTAGAACTCGGTTTATCGGTTTGATAGATCACTTTGATCTGCGGTTTCAGTTTGTTCTGCTGCGCCGATCGATTTTCTTGGTCCTGAATAAGACTGAGTAGATTCTCCGGTATCTCCTGGTGAGTCTTGGAGTTTATTAGATGGAGTTTATTGGATGGCGAAGATGTGGTAGTAGTGGTCGTTGTACTCGTTGTTGGTATTGCCGTTGTATATTTTTTCTGATGATTAGCAATTGCCTTAAGAAAAAGATCTGCTTCCGATGGTGTGATTCGTCGCGCCTTTGGCGAAGATAGCAGCAATGGCGCGGAAGTCGTGCTGACAACAATCGGGGCCGATGTCGCGGTTGATAGAGGTGCCGTAGTGGACGTGAGCTTCTTTAGTTGCTCAAGTCGTAGCAGCTCTTGCTGCCTGCGCAATTCTTGCTGCTCATACAACAATTGCTGTCGTTGTTTTTGCAACAGTTCCAGCTCGCGTTGTTTCTCGAGATATTCTTGCAGCTGCACCGTCTGCTGATCGCTAAACAGTGGTTGCGACAAGTCTTGATGAAGATTTTGGAAGCCATTCTGGTTGTATTGGCCATTATTATATTGTTGCTGCTGGAATTGCGGTGTCTGAATTGAACCGCCGCCGTTCACTAAATTCGAAGCACTAAATTGCTGAGCAATCTTTTGTTGTTGTCGTTGTAAAAGTTGTTGCACCTGCTGTTGTTGTTGTAGTAATTGCTGCAATTGTTGCTGCTTTGTTCGATCGACCTTGTATTTAGCCAAGGAAGCGTACGGCGTGCTGGATTGTACTTGATCATACGGGGGAAAGGACGTTACCCGCGAGTTTTTGGAATCTTGCGTGGGACGCCGATATTGTTGTTGATGTTGCTGCACATCGCTCAGTATCTGAGCTTGCTGGGAAACCGAGAGACGAGGTCGCGGATCATGCACAATGTGACCCTAGAAACAGAAATTTACACAAATATATCGTTAATTCTTAAAAAAAAGTAAATCGTTAATTGTAAGTGTAATTTTTTGAAAATAATTACAATTTATTTTAAGTATATTATTTGTAAATAAGTTTTCGTAAACCAAAAAATCATTAAATATAAAATATAATTAAAGTTTAAAAAACTCTCTTGTTACAGTCGTCTTAATAAAATTGTTCTCTTTATTTACTATGTTTGAATATTTAGTGTGTTTTGGTGAATTCTTTCTAAAGATTTTAATAATGTATATTAAATTAATATAAATAAAACGGATGATATAAATACAACTTGTAAGAGATAAATATATAAGATATAAAATAAATAGATATAATGATAACGATACGTATATACGTTTTTATTTCAAAATTGGAAAATCAAACGATTGATTTATGTTGTAAAAATTTTTGCTTAGGTATAGCATTGTTGCGGTTATTGCTTTTCATTCATCCCGTACAATATCTCATGCAATATAGAATTTTTGTAATTAAATTCTGAGCAATTCGAGCGCGTTAATACATTATTCAACAAGAATATGTAGAAAAAAGTAGAGAAGAATATAAAAAATGTGAGTATAAAAACTTGTTAATCTTGTTCTTCAATTTTGTCAGAAATGACTGCGGTTAATTATTTTTGCATTTTCATTCTACTGAAATATTTTATAGACGTGCTATGTATATATGATAACAAGATAAAATCTTCTAAAAGCGAAAGCAAATACTTGGGATCTACTTAGCGATTCGTGACGATTCAATGCATGCCATAAGCTTGTGAATTATCGCACATGGATTTAAATTCTAAGGCGCTCGCTGAAAACTAATTGTAAGTGAAAATCGACGAGAAAATTACTTTGTGATTTAGTAAGAGTTGAAACATCGTACGTATTTACTCTTATCCTGTGCCCTAACTAGTAGGGCACAATTTAAATCAATAGATTGACATTTATTTTACGATATGTATTTTAATTTTTTAACAAAAAAATAGTCCTTTAAAAATAATTTTTATAATCACTCAAATCTGACTTATGTGTATTTGCGTGCGCGCAGTATAGTTTGTCTTACATACAGAGTAAAAGAACAGGATAATAAAAAGAAAGCTAATTAAGAAGAGATTGCTTTAAATCGTAAAATTAATTTAACAGGTTAACACTTTAATTAATTCTCGAATTTTAGAAGTAAACAATATTTATATATATGTATAAACGATTCTTAAGTCAACAAGTGGCCATAGCTCTTATGTGTGTAATATGTAATAAATGTAGACATTTATTTTAAAGATTTCACTTCTCCGATGCATATATGACAAGCTAATTCCTATTTATTGATCTCATTATCGCTATATTATTACGATACAAGACTATGCAAAGCGCACTCTCAAATTCATTGTTTCTTTCATTGTGTGCACGAGAAAGACGTGAATAATTAAGGTGGCCATAATTAAGAGAAGCATTGTTCGATCTCCCTTTCTCTTGGGTGCCTTCTGCCGTTGTGGACCCGTTGTGAGACAGGTCTCCGCGTCTTCTCGAGAAAGTGCGACCTACTGCAGTTTCCATTTCGCGCCTTTCGCATACATAACAACTTACATATCATGTTCGAATGAATATCGGCGTATATATACTGGTTCTTTATATAACACTCTCACGGTTGATATCCGCATTTTGCATCATTAACCATTTTTTCATGTGCAATCTACAGCTCTGTCGCGTTTATAAAATATTCATAGTATTTTTTATTCAGAAAAAAGATTCATGTTAAATTTTTTATAAGTTTCTATATAAATATCTATATAAATTCCTTAAAAAGTTTTTAGAAATAAAATTTTTACTATTATTTGTAGAAAAGATCTGGGATAGATTGATGATTAAAATAATAATTTAAATACCGTGAAAAGTGAGATAATGTTGAATTGACAAGTGTAAGGTTATTGATACTAGTTTCAATAACATACTAGTTCAATTTTAAATACCATGACGAGATAATTTTGCATGAGGGTACTGTGGGTAATTTTTAAAGTTATTTATACGATTGCATTTCGCAAGTTGTATCTCTCTCGTATCATTGGTTACAGTTTCAATTTTTCATCTGATTAATTTTAATGATGATAACATTATAAATCTTTTATATTTTGTCAATGATGAAAACTAATGACTCACAAAAACATCGATAAAAGTCGTTTATAAAACAAAAATTGTGTATTATTTTAGCACTGTGATACTTGTCTTTTCTGGAATTGAATCTCTCTTTTTCTCTCTCTCCCTCTCTCTCTCTGTCATAGTTGCAAATGAGCCACCTGACAATTTGTGCGATCGCCTCGAGAAATAGTTTGCCTGTCGGAAGATAATTGAGGCCTAGAAAGTGACGACGTCTTCACAGAGAAACTTTAAAGTACTGTAGTAAGAATGACGGGGCATCCTATTCGACGATTTATCGCGCAGATTTGAATTTTGCAGAAATTTAACTCAATATTGTGTCGAGTTCATGTCGATTCGATAAATATCGATAAAACTTTGATGTGACAAGGGCGGAAGTGATAAAAATAAAAATCTCCAGCTACTTTCCTAAATGACATTTATAAAAAAAAACCTGTTTAGAAATACATATAGGAGTATACAAAAAAATATGAAATAAATTTTACTCATGTTGTAAAAATAATTTTAAGAGAATATTTCTATTTCTTTTTCTCTCTATAAGTTAAGTCTTTAAGTGTATAGAGAGCAATGTTTTCTAAACTCCTATACACATATTTCAAGATGCTAAAAGCAAATAAATATAATTGTAATGATATTTTACAACCGACAGTTTATCATCTTATATGAGTCTTAATACAAAATAATGCGATGCAAAATGAAGCATATAGATAATGTCCAATACTTGAACAAACGGATATATTTCGCACGCACGTGCGAATAAATATTAGAGATCATGAATCGTATGTAAATAAATTTAGATAGATACATTATCACATGTCGCTTAATATCATTGCAATTATAACAATTTCTAGAAACAGAGCACTCTGATCAATACGATTTACATGAGAAAAACTCTCACTTTCGTACGCAAATTGATCGCAATTCGAGAATGGTTATTACTCGCAGTCTCGAAAATTCTCTCCCCATGGTAAACACACAGGGCTTTGGCAATTAATAAATTTAATGATTTAAATTTAGATCATGTAGTAAATGAATCCATAAATGTGATTCTTGCGACATTTAACTTGTCAACTTGAATCTTTTTAATTTTCAACATTATAAACACGCATCACAACATATTATAAACTTATTAAATCGCACATTATTATAATTTAAAATAGCAACCATTTTAATTAAACAAAAATTTTTAATGATTTTATTGTGTTTATTTGTAGCCGTTAAAGTTAATCCGTTTCCTAATTAAAAATTCCTGTGTATCAAATATAAAATAATTCGTAAGCTTTTTTGCACATTCATTAAATTTGTTTACTTTCCCAAACATATCGTGAATGATTTTCAGATGAAATTTATGATAACAGAGGAAATGGCATATATAATTCATCCCAAACATATAACGTCATTACATCCCTCTTACTTGCTTGAAGCGATTATATCGGTTTTCTCGGCAATTCAAAGATCAAGGAACAGCTTGAAAGTGTTTATAACACTCGTAGAGAAAAGGTACTAGGAAATCGCAATTGGAATAAACGTTCTCCTTTTTCCCACCTATGGGAAACTCGCAGCCACTGGGTTGCACTTGGCTTTTACGATAGTCGTGCACCGCACGATAATTGCCTCAGTAGATACGGACGGTAACATAATCAGACGGCGAGAGGCCATCCATATTTTTTTTCAAATTGATAATTTGAGAAAGATGTTGCATCTCTCTTTTTATGTGACGTTATGCAAATTTATCTGTTTTCCTCATTCGCTGAAATATAAAAATTGATTGATATAGTTAAATCTTTTTATTATAGAATAAAAAACACATTCAAAGTCCAAATTTCAAGATCCAAACTAGTTTGGTTCTTGAAACTTAAATTTGTTTTAATTTCTAATCTTTTTAAAATTTATATTAAACTTTTATTGCTATATTATAAATTTATATCTTACCATTCATGTAGAGCTATATAAATTGGTCTCGTATATCATACTTTTGACTTTTTCAACTTCCTCAATTTATTGTAATTTATTGTAAGCGGTATGTATATAAAGTTCTTTTTATGATCACTATATTGTAGTTAATTCATCTATAAAATATTTTGCTTAAAAGTTTATAAGAAAAATATTTAAAAATATTTTCTATTTTTTAGAAAGATTTGAAGAGAATAAGATATATGTATTCAAGTCCTGGATTTTACTTCCGATATCATATTTTTCTATAACATTGCTCAACCGTGCCCATACACAAATTGATTGAAAATTATAATATTATAGATAGATAATCATGATAGTTGGCAATCATGTATTACTCTCATTTTATACTCGTGATTGCGTAATTTATTGGCATGCACGATCGAACATGTGCATTCACTAACTGACATAAAGTACCGCATAGTCGCTTATGCAACTTACGTGTATTCCTTCACTTTTCTATAAAAAGAAAGGCCGAAAGAAAGGCAAGTTTGAAATGTTTCTTCATATAAAGAAAATTCTTCTAGCTATTACGTTAAATAGCAGACTATCTTTCGTAATATCTCCTATTAACAAAAGCAATACATTTAATCAGATTATCTCATATTATTTAGATTATTTATATAAATATTCTAATTCTCTTTATAGAAAAATATCCTTTTTCTATTTTCTGCTTGTTTAAAAAAAAAAAAATGTTAATTTGTTGCTCTTATTATATATCATTTTAATTAATAAATTATAAAACCAACAAACAACAAATAATTATTACTACAACTACTATTTACTACAAGAGCTGTCCATAAAGAAACCGAACTTTTAAAAAAAAAAACACCCGAATGCGATGACGTGGAGCTATTTGCCTTGTGGCACTG